GGCCCCTCCCTGCCCACCGGCTTTCGGTTCTGGGTTCAATTCCGCTTCATCCTGCAACTGGTTCCCTGCTGCCAGGCCAGCACGAGGCAGAGCAGAACGGCACGGATCCTGCTCCCCACGGGCAGGAACAGACGTCTGTCTGGGACTGAAAGCTGGGAGGAGAGGGGCCTCGGGGCACCCAGCTCCCGGCAGAGACTGCGGAGCAGTCCCGGGTCCTCATCCCCCTTGGCGCAGGGATGGTGCCCGCAGCGCTCGCTGTCACCACATGCAAGGAGCCGACGGCGCTTCTGGGGCCAATCACCGAACCCGTGGCTGTGGCGGGAGCCCCTCGTCACCCCAGGGCAGCACCCACCACCAGCTGGCACCCAGGCAGCAGCTCCTCCATCAACACAGCCCACCTACCCAGAGACCCCCCAGCTCTCCACCTTCCCTGCTCACCCTTGCATCTCATTGAATCATTAAGGTTGGAAAAGACCTCTAAGATCATCAAGTCCAACCGCCAACCCATCACCACCATGCCTGCTAAACCATGTCCTGAAGTGTCACATCTACACATTTTCTGAACACCTCCAGGGATGGGGACTCCACTACTGCCCTGTGCAGACTGTTCCAGTGCCTGACCACTCTCTCAGTACAGAAATTTTTCCTAATATCCAATCTGAACCTCCCCTGACACAACTTGAGGCCATCTCCTAATAGGGGAGCAGGTCTTCTGCCTGTGGGAGCAGAACCGTCCCCACGTGGTTCCCCGACTTGCACCTCTGCTGCGAAACAGGCAAATGCCAAACTAAATTTAAAAAAGGGGAACCATAAATAGGAGCTTTGGACTGATCTTGGAGGAGCTCTCCTCCCTGGAGCAAAAGGCCCTCATCTCCTCCTTGCACCCAAGATGTGCTTGTGTCCAGGTGATTCACGGCTGTCCCTGAGGTACCTGCACCGAACAACACCCGCTGTGCTGACCGGGGCTGCCCCGTGCTGCTTATGGTGACAGTGAAGACAAAGACCACAGCAAGCTTTAAAACGCGCACGGGTTAACTGCTGAGAAGCCCTTGAGATGTCAGCATGCTGCTGGGCTGGTCTGCACAAAAGCCCTGCGGCAAAATAACTGCTGACTGCAGCTCGGAGCAGCGGTTTTGGTGCAAATTATCTTATTTCAGGGATAGAGGTGGATTGAACTCCGCTCGTGGAAAGAGGAAGGTGGGAAATCAGAACAACAGCTACAAAGCTGGTACTGGAACAGCGCGAGAGGCAAATCACCACGCGTGGTGCAGTCACCTGCGTGTGTGGAGATCCACCACAAATCCCATTACTCTGATGCTGAACCCACCCACTCCCGCCCAGAACGTCCCAGCAGAGGCTGGAAGACCCTGTCTCCTCCTCAGTCGGGATCGCTTCTGAAACACAACCTGGCTGTGCAGCGCTTACTCTCAGTGTGACACATCCGGCACACAAGCCAGAGCGAGCAATACAAACAGTTCCAGAAACCTCAACAGAAACACTCCTTTCAGTAAATACAGCTCATGCGGGTGGCGATAGGCAGCTCACAGTATGTCACTTGCTGCCTCCACCTCAGCAAAACCCACGCAACCAGCACGCCGGAGTGACAAGTATTCTAGAAATATCTTCTGCATTAGTCTGAGCTATACATTAACCTGCCACCAGTGCAGATAATATGTATTTCCAAACAAATTCCTGTGATGACAACACAGTGAAAACGCAGATAAAATACGTCCTTCGTGCAGAGGACATAAAATATTAAAGAATATAAAACATTCCTTAGAAAGCCAGCAAGTTTCCCATGCGTTCAGCCCAGGGTATTAACTCTGGCTGCTAGAAATACCATCTTGATGCACAGAAAGTGGGGAGAGAAAGGAAACAGCTGCTTTACCAACTATTTCCACCTCAACAAAAGCAGGTATTTGTGGATGGGAAGGAAGACAGGTGGGAGCAAAGCCATCAGCGAGGGGTTTCAGTGGGATCCTGGGGCTGAAAAGCTGACACGGTGCTTATCTCCTTTCAGAGGGACATAAAAACTTCCTTCTGGCTGGGTCACTGGCCACAAAAGCAAAACAAAACTATCCGTCATGCAGGGGAAGTCGTAAGGACAAGCCGCAATCCCAAGCTGCGGTCTGCAGTGAGGACATGCATCAGAAGGCCGCTGCTGCATATGGGGACACAATATGGAAATCTGGTCTTGCAAACACCGATGCTCCCATTATACAGAAGCACGGCCGAGTGGCTCCCCACAACGCCTGACATGTAACATACAATTAAAAATAAAAACAGAACACACTTACGAAGACAGCACTATGGCAACGGCATCATTGAGGACGCTTTCGCCAAAGAGAAGGGCATACAGCTCAACATCAACCTGGAGTTCATGGAATATGGCAAGAACAGTCACTGACAAATAGAAAAATAGAGAGACATTCAAAAAGGTGCCGTTATTTTGGTGTAATCAAAGACAACACGCCTCTTTTTAGAAAGCTGCCTGCCTGCACATCTGTGCCACTCTGCTGCAATGGTGCCAGCTGCCCCCCACGCTCACTTTGATCATCTCCCTTCTGCCCTTTCAGATTTGGATTTGCTTTATCATTTCCCTCCTCCTCCTTTTACTAAAACACGTCCTGAGCATTAGGTCTATCCAGTCTTTAGCAGGCAGACATGAACAAACTCTGTTCTGAGGTTCCTGAGGGTCTGAGCTCGTGGGCTGAACCACGGTACCATGCTGACATGAGCCACCCAGCTTTTGGGACGCTGTTAGCTCAGAGCATCAGGGAGAGCCTTCATCCACCTGCAGAAGGCCAGGAGAAATCCTTGGATTCAACACAGGTTGACACACTGGAAATGCCAGCATAGATGTGTTGACTTGTCAGACCTAACCGGAAAAAGCCAGGCATCGTCTCAAACTCCATGCAGGAGTTTCTTGTGATTTACAGCCATGTGGCTGAGACCACAGGACCCTCAAGCCCTTCCGCAATCCAGTGCCTCCAAGAACATAATAATAATGTGGCAGGTTTTGTGTATCAGCCTTGCAAAAAATCACAACATCTAAAGCAAGCGAGATAGAATACATGGTGCACCGCGCACATCTCCATCTGCCATGGTGGGATGAGCTTCTTCCAACCAACGTCTCTGAACGTCCTTTAAAACAGCATTCAGGGACTCATCTGTGCACACTGAAAAGAGTTTAACCCTTTTAAGCCCAGAGAAATGCTCCATTTTTACCTGTGAAATCTTCTTGTTCCTATTACCAAGCCTGAAGCAGGGACGCGACGCCAACAGCTTATCCGCAGCATTTTTAAGCATTACTTCTACCTACGGTCCTTGCCTGGCCTCTGCCCGCCTGCCATCAGACCTACCACGCCACCATCGCGTCTGTGAGGTGCTCCCCACTTTGCAGATGTGCCCCCCCTTGATGTCAACACCCCGGCGAAGTCACGGGGAGGATGCAGCCGCGTGGGAACAGCTCCCCACTAAAGGAACCGGTGGCCTGAATGCAGGCCCACCCAAGACACGTTCGGAGAAGCTGGGAAATCATTGTACCTTATTTTTCAAGTTGGTTTTTTTTTTGGTTTTAATAAAAATATCAGCAGTAATAGCCACACCAAAACCTGGCAAATCTTAGGGAAAGGTAAAAAATAAGTTATTAAAAACTCATGGGGAATGCACATCTCGCATCTCCACCTGGCAGACAGATGTGGCTTTTGCCACTTTACACTGCAGGTTATGTTCTGCAGCGTTGTTCTTGCATCTATGCATATACACACAATGCTCCTCATTTTGCCTTTGAAAACAGAAACGACTCATTGTTAAGACGAGCAGGCAGAAGTCCCAGTTCATCTGGAAATGACAGCCACTGGCACTTGTCTCAAAAGGGCAGGAGATTTGGCTTATCCAGACATGCAACCTCTCCCTTCCATGCAAAACTGACCAACATCTGGATGTAAAAAGATCCCCCAAAGCTACCGTAACATCGGGAGGGGGGCGATGCTGCCGCCCCCCAGGCCCACAGCGCTGGTCTCCAACGCAGCAGCCAGGCTGCAAAGGAAGAAGGTCGAGCCCTGTTCAGCAAAGGGCAGGAGGAAGGAGAGGCCTTTTCGTGGTCCTGTCTTTTTAGGTGAAGCTGAACGTGCAAATAAACAGCCACCGTGTAAAAGCAATCATGAACTAAGTAAAATTCAGTTCGACAACGCATGTTTTTCATAGTTTTGATCTATGAAGAGCATCAGTAAACCAAGATGTCACTCCTGTCCTCAGTACTGCTCACTAAGATCAATTTTCAATTAAATTAGCACCTCCCAAATTTCCACCCAAATGGAAGCGGAAGAAAATGGCTAAACTAACTAGAACTATCCACTGACCCCTCCCCACATTCCACATCTTGCTCAGCGTCAGCTGTCGGCACAGGGTGGCAGGGACACAGTGGACCTGTCCCAAAGCCCAGTGAAGTCGAGAGACGGCCTAGGACTTCACTGTGAACACAGATTCAGGAAAGCAGAGGTCTGGAGGGTGCACTACACGTAACCAGAAGGAAATAAAAAGCCATGGAGACAAATTCGACCTCTAAGAATGTCACAAATAAACTCCAAAAATCAGAAGGAGGGAACTTGCAGGGGTTTCAGACTTTCTTCCCCTCTTCATCACAACTCAAAACAGATCCAAATGTAGGCACAATGAGGGAAAAAATAACCATCTAACATACCTGGATCAGTAGCCGATACGATGGCACCAAACAGGAGGCAGTCGGTGAAGTAGAAGTCTCCCCCGAGCTGCCCCGTGACTTTCATCAGCGCCACGCAGCCATACACGACAGAGCTGGTGATTAGAAGAGGCAATTACTCATCTCTGCAGTGAATGAAAACGACATTCACACCAGCTCAGTTCCCCTGAATTTGCCAGATCAACCCCTAAAGTTACCCAAATGCCAAACACCAAAGAACTGTGCTGGCTGAGCTGAGCCTGGTGAAACCCCATGGTCGTGGTCTCGGAGGCGAACGCTGGACCACACGCACCAAAGCACCCGCCACAGCAGGCCACAAACACAGCACTGGTGAGGAACTGGGACCGAAACTCCTCCGCAAGCACAACACAACGAAAGAAAAGCAGCAGCCGGGCTCGTGCGGTCTCGCGATCATTTTCCACTGTTTCACATTAACACGTTCCAGTGGGACAACCTTGGCCTGACTTTGAAATGGCCAAAACTTTCAGTGAGGAACAGATAATGTGGATGCTGAGTTTGCTTGAATCCGCCGGACTCTCCAGTGGAGAACAACCTGCGCCAGCCTGCGTGCTACTGTTCAGCGCGGGGATCATCTAGCTCCCTCTGCGCAGAGGGATAAATAATTTGAAAGCCAATCCGTGCTCGCTAGGCACCTGCTTCCAGCGAGTAAGGACAGGACACGCATTTAGGATCCTGCCCGTCCCTTGTCTCATGCTTGTTAGGGCTGCGCTTTCAATAACTCGAAGTCACTGCCTGTTTTTTCAAGACAATCTTCAGAGAAGTGTGACAGTTTCCTTGCCATGTATATAACTATTCTGCTCGGGATCCTGAGCAAGCGCTGTGCAATTCGCCAGCAAGCACCCTGCCCACACAGCGAAAGTCGGGACAGTAAACAGTATCGTTTGCCGGAGAGCCTGCGTGATCCTTCAGGGCTGGGATAAGCGGCCGCAGCTCCGGGCTCCGAGCGCTGCTCCCAGTGGGGCTCAAACCGCCGCGGAAGAACCAGACCCGCTCCAGCTACTCACCCGATCACCAGGCACGAAATCGCCGTGCCGAGAAAAGCGTACGCCAGGATGGAGCCCAAGTTTCTGAAGAAGTGCCTCTAGAAGGAGGAGACAAAAAAAAACCCCAGCGTGAACTGTATTTCGTTAACAATTTCTTTCAAGCCTGCACAGGCACCCACAGTGTCCGTAGCAGCTTGGATCTAGCTCAAAAGCCACGAGCTGGACAAGCACGGCTGAAGGGTGCCCAGCACAACAGCGTACACCACCAGAGCAGCAGATGTTAATGCAGCACTAATAAACACGAACGTATCATTCTCGTGTACCCGTGTACTTAATAAGGCGCTGTTCCAAGTCCTGGGAACTGATTTCCTAACCCAGCAGCATTCCTCCTTCCTTCTCCCGCAAGCTAAACAGGATCGTTTTCCTCTCCTTCCAAATCAGCATTTCGGAGAGCTGCTGCTTTCCAAAACCTTCCCACCCTCCTATGTGTTTCGAAAGCAAGGATGGCTGAAATGGCCCAGCTGACCTCAAAAATCCCGGCACAAACCCATGCTGGAAATGGTGGAAATCGCTGACCCTTCCCGGGGCAGAGGGACGGACGAGACTGACTGGGACACTCTCATCCCTGCTTCCTACAATCCCGCATGTCCTGGGGAAAACCATACCCACCTCCGCAGCCCTGGCCTGCTGAGCAAGCATTAAAGCACTCTCAAGTATTAAAAATGCTCTGGAGGCAGAGGAACTAAAAACGTAGGTGCTGTAAAGGCACGTACCCTTTTCAAGCTGTAGCCTGCATAAAATATAATTGGAGGAAGCAAAATGTTGAAAAACACTTCAGGATCAAAAGTCACCTGTTAAGAAAAAAAAAAACCACAACAGTAAAATGGTTTGTTAAGACTTTGCAAGACAAAACACAAATAAGAAAGTCATATAAAACATAGGGAGGGAAGCCTGTATGCCCGCCAGACAAAATGCTGTCGGGCCAATGCCGAGGATGTGTCTGGGATCTTCTGGAGACACAGCTCAGAGTCTAAACAGCTTAAACTAAGATCAACTGAAAGTAGAGTTTCATTATATCGTGTTCAACTTATAAGTTATAGCTGATCACAATCTGACTGAAGTTAAAAAAAAAAATACATCCTTTAATCCAGCAGACACAGGACCCATCCCACAGAGGGAGTGGGGAGCATCGCTCCACTCTCCAGTCACTGGCTCCCTTACCTTCCTCAGCATCTCGTTATCCTGGACGTTATTGAGCTCCTGGGCGCTGATTTCCCCCTTCAGGGTGTACTCGTAGTACTTCCCACTGACGTTCACCAGCAGCGTGGCAGGACTGGTCTGCACTTGGCAGCTCAGCGTCACGTTGTTGACGTCGCTGGGGACGTGGATGCCGTAGCGCAGGACCACGCCGACCAGGACCCCTGCGGAGGGACACGCACCGGTGAGATGAGCTGTGGCAAACTCCCGGGACGATGTCTTCGAGCACAGACGCAGCATCAGGCACGCCAGGATCCTGACCCTCTGCGCAGACGCTGAGCACAGCCACCACCCAAATAACGGCCCACAATAAACCACCCGCGTCCTCCCAGCCACCATCCAGATACCGGCCCACATTAAACCACCCGCATCCTCCCATGAGCCACGCAAATGCTCCAAGCTCGTGCTGACCTTCTAACACCAGGCACGGACTGGTCCTGAAGGTTTTTAATTGCTCAACAATCAGTCAGAACCTCGCCCTAGTGCAGCGAACAGCCGACACCAAGGGCACGCCGATTTTCTTAGGGCAAGCACCCTGGTGTTGCTGGCACACGGCTGGGGACCCGGGCAAGGCGCTGCTCACACGTGCCCAAACTGCGCACGTTGCACCTGGAAACCTGACGGCAGCACGTTCTACCACTACAGAAACACACCAAACCCTTCATTTTGGTAGGGGATTAAGAACGATACCGAGCAAGCACCATGAACGCTTTGAGGGCAGTGAGCACCCTTCCTACGACGCTGCAGCACCACAGCCTCCTCCCACCCCCGGCAGCTTTCACACCGCACAGCAGTGATCCCAATTTTATAAAATCCACAAAAGCTTCCCACTCCAGGCTGACCATGCAGGTCTGCTCCTCGCCACCGGCAAGCTTCAGCTCTGCACCACAAGCAGCA